CAAATACAATGTAATGTATTTAAAGTAGAGGAAGTCCACAGTATTTCACGCTCCTTGTATGTTTACACATGAGCTTCTCCTTTCATAGCTGACCCCAGTAAAAGGGCCCACTAAACAGCTATGGTTTGTTACTAAGACAAACAGACACTTACTGTCTAACTTTCCTTCTTGTAGCAACATAAGTTGATATATTATCAACATTATAAACACATCGGGACGAGAATCAGTGTTTGGGATTGACATAAATGAAAGTTATGGAGGGTGTCGGAAAGGGGCCTTCTGTGAAGTATGGACATCAATCCAAACACATTGTTGGTATATTTAAAGTTCCATGAAGTTGGTTAGCCAGTTTTATTATCAGATCATTCAATGTGACTCGGCTCGTTAGCAAAGTTGAAATGGGGATCAGTGCTTGGTGGTCTAGAGTGATGTGTATGTCACAAAAGGTCTTCTGGAGATGAAGGGAACCGCTATCATTTAAACAACATTAAAAATAAATAATAAAACATTTGATAAATGCGTGCAACAGTATCAGTAGTATTGCTAAGATTAACAACTCATTAATAAACACAGACATTTGGATTTGACTTTCTATCATTAAACGACAGAATGTATGTATTAACAAAAAGTATATAACACTTTTATCAAATAGAATAACAATCATTTGCACTTACATTGAGGCTAATAGAGCTGCAATTACTTTAGTTTGTGGACATTTCATTTAGGTCTTCTCTGAATTTATCATTGACCGTATAATTATGAGCAACACATTACACTAACTCAAGTCTGCAAACAATAAATTTATTCAATAGAGTGAAATTTAATATGACCGTTCGAAAATCTACAGCCCCAACCCCCACCCAAACGCACCAATTTCCATAACTGACCTAATTATAAGTAGTAGGGTACACAACAGCTATGATTAGGCGTTCAGGTGTGTTTATAATTTCCCTTGCAATTTTGTTATTTTTTTCTAACCATAATATCTAAAAGGAGTTAAATCATGTGCTAACACCAAATCGAAATGAAGTAGTGATATTGCGGTTCCTAGCTGTTCGTAGTAATAAGTGGCAATCCAAGCACAGTAATGCGATTCGGCTCGTTATCAAATTTATAAAAGGAAATCAGTGCATGAAGCCTTGTATGTTTAAAGTCTAAATGTTTTAGGTCATTGGCCAAAACTTCAATTAATACAAAAACAACAAAATGCGGTTTTAACTCTTTATATTAAAAAAAAACATTAACAAAAAAAATCGAATTAGGATTACAATGTCTTAAATGGATGCTCACATATAGTATGGTAAGTTAACTCTGTATCATATATATAGATATCTTCCATAAAGTTTGAAATATTTGTTATTATGATATTATATCACTTATACAATACATAATTTAAGATATATCATATATATATATATAGATCTTGTGAGCCCCGGGTGTTATTTATTTTGTAAGAACACCCATCGATAAAATGCAAATAGAGGTTACACAATATATATATCTTCTTCTTTTCTAAAGAAGTACAAATCAACGGCATATGCTTGCATTATGAATAAAGAGCAAAAATCTTTCAGATAACTGCTTTTGTAGCACATTGTATCAACACCTAAAAAAGCAACTCCTGAATATGTAAATAGATATTAAACACACTTTCTGACCATTATATAACCATGATCCTATTAATTTATTATTTAAATCTTTCTGCAAACAGTATTTTCGTTAGTTTTTAATATTTACAGTTAGGCATCAGGATTAAGCGGGATTATATAAATTATTAAACACATTTTGTATCTTTAGCAGAACCCATCAATACGAGTAAGTCATCTGCGTGCATCTTTGGGAACAAACTACATTCTCAAAATTCATAATCCATTCGAAATAAAAAAAAACTTTTATATCAGCGAAAAACATCTATGGTGCGTTTCATTGAGCATAACACATGATTTTACTTGTTTTTGTACTCTTTTGTGTACTTTTGAATCTAACGAAATCATGTATGCTTTACTCATTAATATAATATATATTATAATTATTTGAAACACCTTCAATTTGTTGATCAAGATGTTTCTCCTAAGGGCAATGTCCATATGTTCGGTATATTTTTTATTGATTTCCTTTTTTACTTCAGTTGTGATTATGTCCACTGTTAGGACTGCTGATCTATATATTTAAACATTTAAAGAATAAATAAGCATGGAAATAGCTTTCACCGTATTTCTTGTTCAAACTATATATCCTTGCTCGGGAACGCTTTTACATGAGATTATATGTAGACTGACCGCCGTCCCTAGAATATTTAACTCTTCAGGAATTAGACTCAAACAATTTTGATCATTTTGATTTGTAGACTAGTTCCCAAGTATTTAATCATTAAGAAATTAGACTTTAAACATTTTAATCACTTGAATGTCTGATTCTGAAGACTGGTCAAATGCAGGAAAGGTTTGTAATTTTACCCCAGATGTTGGCTATCAGTAAGCCCCACAACATCCTTTCTGAACACTTGATATCGGCCCAACTCATTTTATTGACTACACAGGTATAAAGCATCGTTCGCCTATCCAAAATTAAATAAACATGAGATAATTGAACTAAGGAGTATAAGTAAGTTCTCTGATGTCCTTTGGAGTTAAAAGAACTGCAGGCGTTATCAAAATAAGATTCTTTATTGTGAACTGCAACTGCAAAACCATTCTGGGTTCTATTTTTATGTAGAAGATATCATTCTTATCAATGCTGATGTCATTTTATTCAAATTGGTAAGACTCCAACTAAAACATCAGAGTCCAAGGCACACATTTCTAGTAAATATGTATTTTGAAGAATGGACAGGCATTATGTGAAATATTATACGAGTTGCGTATCTTTTAATAAAGCTGAAAGAAGCTAAAAATTAGCTGTATTTGCTTTACCGTAATTTTGAAAAGTGATAAAAAACGAATATGTTAATATTAGAAAGTATATATGTTTTTTCAAGATAATTGTGTCCCTCTCTCAGGGCCGTAGAGGTTCTTATATCTATATATGGAAGATAAAATACTTTGAAATAGTTTAATTTCTGTTTCTAAATCAGATGCAGCCATCTCTTACCTATGCGCATTGCCAACTGTTGTATTTCATGAATTAATTCGAATATAATGAGCACGTGGTTTCCTGATCAGGATGGCCCCGGTCAGGACCGTGTACTCTACTAGCTATATAGTTATAGACTATACGGCTTATAACAATTCTTGTAAGTCGGGGTTCTATTTCTCAATAAATACGACTTCTCTAATGACATTATACACAGCGAACTATTTTTAGTTTATAAATGTTTATATCTATATATGGGAAAATATGACTTTTCCCCTGATCATGATGTCCCCGCCGAGGACCGTGTTCGTTATAATAAGTATGTTTTAAGAGTTTCATTGTTAATGTAAAATACTTTCCTATTTAAAAATCATTACATGGGACGCTAATCTTGACCATTCGCACTGCTTCCTTTGTGTAGTCGATAAATAACCAAATCCATTATTTCCATTTGATTTCCTGATCAGGATGGCCCCGGTCAGGACCGTATACGCTAATAGCTATATATGGAAGATAAAATACTTAAGAAATAGTTTAATTTCTGTTTCTAAATCATGTGCAGCCATCTCTTACCTATACGCATTGCCAACTGTCGTATTTGATAAATTAATTCGAATATAATGAGCACGCGCACGTGGTTTCCTGGTCAGGATGGCCCCGGTCAGGACCGTATACGCTACTAGCTATATATTTATTGACTATACGGCTTATAACAAATCTTGTAAGTCGGGGTTCTTTTTCTCAATAAATACGACTCGTCTAATGACAATATTCACTGCTATTTACATTTTGTTTATAAATGTATCTATGTATGCAAAAATATATGATTTTATTTCCTGATCATGATGCCCTCCTCCCAGAACTGTGTACGTTATACGATTTACATATAGAGTATTCCATCAATGATATAGTGTATTTTCCATTTAAAAATAATTATGATGCTTCTCTTGACAGTTCGCATTGCTAGCTTTTTGTACTTATTCAATGCGTACGTAGATAATTTCCATTTAAGCTCCTGATCAGGATGTCCCTGCCCAGGACGGTGTACGTTATAAGAAGGATGCTTTATGTTTTTGTATATTTATCTTTTTAATTGTTGATGTAATGTATTTTCAATTTCAAAATCATCAGGACATCTCTCTTGACCACAAACTTTACAAACTTGACTTATTTCATAAATAACTACGGTCATATTAACCGTTTGATTACCTGATCAGGATGTCCCTGCTTCTGACCGTATTCGCTAACAGCTTAAGTTAAAAACTATTAATACAACAATTTAAATGACCATATACACTGAACGTTATCTTCCTTTAGTTTATAAATGGTATAAAAATAGCTACGTTATTTCATAAGAATGTCCCAGATGAGGACCGTATACACTATAAAATGTAGTTATAAGATATCCCACTGTTATATCATGCTCCAAGTCCGGACGAGTTATCCTATCTTGACGGTCCTCACCAGCCCCGGTCCTGCTCAGCCCCGGTCCCAGTGAGAGACAGCGCAGCTGTCTGACGCCACTCGTTGAAACGGTACGTGTGGCGCAGAAATTTTCCACTATAAACGAACACACTTGGACCGTTCTATAAGCAGAGCTAAAAATCCACAGTTTCGGAGATTAAAAAACAGTGTTTCAAGAATATTATGACCTTCTTTCATCCGTCCACTGAATTACATAACGTAACTTAAAAACTACATGTGACTTGACATTGTTTTAGAAAGAAATAACGCAACTTGGCAATAGTCAGCATTTTAGGGTTTCTAGTTATATGTGAAAAACCGTGATTTTCACGGTTGACTGCGGCGTACAAGTTGTATCCCCTTGAAAAACACATTATCGTCGATTTCTAAATTATTAGATAATAAATAAACATTTTTGTAATTGTCACATTTAGAAAATAATGTTTGAAATTATTCTATATTTTTATAAAAATTATAAACCATCGCGTTAATGAGATATTAAAATATCTTTATATTCCCGGTACGGGTTTCAGTCCGGGTCCGGGAACGGGGTACAAGATTTACCTACCACCGCATTTTAGTTTCGGTCAGGCACGTCTGAACCCCTCAATCTAAACGTGCCAAATTTTCCTGAGATCAGCCTCGGTGCAGATCTGTACCTGTCGTTTTCTTTACAGGTTCAACCGTTTCAACCGGTAACGCGAATGTACCCATGTAGCTACATGTAATCTTATCGAACACACCCAGGAACCGGATTCTACTAATGGGAGATAACGCAGAACATTTTTGGCGCGCAAAATATCAGTTTTAGGTAAGTCATATGTTATTTTTTAGTGATTTTAATGTTTAGTCAATAATATGTTTTACGGCACGGCCGTTAGTGAGGGCGGAGCCAGGTTGTACTGTAAATGTATCGGAATATCGGTACTGTACTCTTTCAAGCATTGAGTGATGTGTTAAATTACTAAATCAGACTTACATGTATAACGTTAGCTATACAGTGTATATTACAGATAAGTTTCCTTTCTTGATTTCTTTTTGGCTGACAAGATGTTTGATATCTTGAAGTTTTCCGCCTAGGCGTATGATGACATGACATTAATGTGAGAATGCGAAAGGTTCATTAGACT